GGATGGCCTCAACTGGGATCTTGGGTTCATGTCGCACTACAGGTGACGCATGCACACGTGTACGCACATGCATGCACACACATGAACACACGCACACACTCGCAAACAAAAACACACATGAATTTATGGGGTGAATTTGTATTTGCAGATACATTCTATTTTTTTTCAAAAAGCACACAATTTATAGACAGTCAGTCACTGTGGGGTTCTATAAATTCCTACTTTAGAAATAAAACCAGTTTGTCTCCAAACCAAAGCACAAACAGATAATAAACAAGGTCTCACACCTAACATGCATTGTCTGACCTAAAATGTCACCACTTCGTTACACTGATAAAATCATTAATTCTCTCAGGACCATGACTTGAAAGGAATTCGGGGATTTACATATACATATCAATCAATTAAAGATTTAGCAGCATCTTAGGTTTGTTTAGTACATCCTCATCAATGGTGTGAGCCTTTGATCTTTTACTTACAAATTCTGTGTCTGATACTACCTCTCTCATTAATACCTGAAGAAGGACTGAGGCTCCGAAAGCTTGTGTTTACAAATAAACCTGTTGGATTATAACCTGGCGTTGTGTGATTTCTGACCTTGTCCACCCCAGTCCAACACCAGCATGTCCATTACAAATTATTGGTGCTAAGAGGAGACAAATGGTGGCTGCGGCTGAAGTTGCAACATTGTATCTAGGTGGATTTCACTTTGATGGCTCATTTATTTATTTTAAAACATATTCTGATGGGTGGTTTATTTCTGATGGGACTTTCAATATTTGGGAAATTAAGCAGTCATATTCACATTACCATGTGGTAGTTTTGAGTGCAACATTTTATACAATGTGATTAGGGATAGATGTAAGGAGATCAGTTTGATCATTTACAGTCTTTATGTTGACCTCAGTACTCCAACTGTATTGTACCTAATCCCTGTAAAAGGATTTGGTTTATTAGTGTTTATGTTATTGGAATAATAATCCAGGCCTGAGTGAAAGTTCCAATCCTTTAACTCCAAATAAACCCTGACAGCTGGGGAAATTTAAATTGATTTAATCAAATCTGGAATCAAGAACTAATATCTCTGATTGTGACAGTGGAGCTATTGAATTGTTGTAATAATCTATTGACCCATCAGTGCTCTTTAGGGAAGGGAATCTCCTGTCTTTAGTTGATCGAGCCTGTGTTTGACTTGTACGAGAATGGCCCTGATATCTCCATGATCAGATAGTTGTTAGAGCTGTGTACTTGTACAGATAACATGGAATTTCCCCAAGCAGCTAAGTCTGTGGGATTCAGGAAATTGCAACCTCTGGGCCAATTCCCTCATCTGGAGCCAAATGAACAAATGTAAAAGTACAGCACAGGAACAGGCCCTTCGGCCTTCCAAGCCTGTGCCGACAGTCATATCCTAATTAATCTAAAAACAAACCTGCCATTTTTCGATCCGTATCCCTCTATTCTCGCCCTATTCATGTACCCATCTAGGTGCCTCTTAAATGTCTTCAATGTGCCCACTTCCACCACGTTTTCTGGTAGTGCATTCCAGGCTGCTATTACTCTCTGGGTGAAAAACTTCCCTTGCACATCTCCCTTAAATGTTGCCCCTCTAACCTCGAACCTGTGCCCCCTTGTAATTGAAACTTCAACCCTGGGAAAAAGCCTCTGACTATCCACCCCATCTATGCCTCTCACAATTTTGTAGACCTCTAGCAGGTCTCCTCTCAGCTGCCGTCTTTCCAGTGAAAACAATCCTAGTCTTTTTAACCTTTCCTCCTATTCAATGTCCTGGAGACCAGACAACATCGTGGTGAACCTTCTCTGTACTGTCTCCAAAGCTTCCATATCTTTGTAGTAGTGCGGTGACCAAAACTGCACACAGTACTCCAAAAGCGACCTAACAAGGGTTTTATGTAGCTGCAACATGTTTTGCCAACTCTTATACTTCATGTCTAGGGCGATGAAGGCAAGTTGGCCGTATGCCTTCTTAATAACCTTGGCTACCTGTGTTGCCACTTTCAGTGAACTGTGGACCTGCATGTCCAGATCCGTCTGAATGTTAGTGTTCCTAAGGGTTCTGCCATTTACAATATAATTAACACCTAAATTTGATCCTCCAAAATGCATCATCTTGCATTTGTTTGAATTAAACTCCATCTGCCATTTCTGTGCTCAAGTCACCAATCTATCTATATCCTGTTGTATACTTTCACAATCATTGGCATTATCAGCAACTCCACCAATCTTCATGTCAGCAGCAAACTTGCTTATCAGACCACCCACATTTTTCTCCAGATCATTTATATATACTACAAACAACAAAGGACCTAAGACTGACCCCTGTGGAACACCACTAGTTACCAGTCTCCATTCTGAAAAACCTCCTTCCACCGCTACCCTCTGTCTTCTATGACAAAGCCAGTTTTCTGTCCACCTAGCCAGGCCACCCTGAATCCCTTGTGATTTTAGTTTTTGTACCAAACTGCCATGTGGGACTTTAACAAATGCTTTACTAAAGTCCATATCAACTACATCCACAGCCCTTCCCTCACCAATTATCCTCATTACCTCTTCAAAAAATTCAGTCAGGTTGGTGAGACATGACCTTCCCCAGACAGAACCATGCTGCTTGTCACTAACTAGCCCATTTTCCTCCAAATTTGCATATATTGTGTCCCTCAGTACCTTCTCCAAGAGCTTCCCCACCACAGACGTCAAGCTTACCGGCCTATAGTTTCCTGGATTATCCCTGCATACTTTTTTAAACAAGGGAACAATATTCACTAATCTCCAGTCCTCTGGAGCTTCACTTGTGGTCAATGAGCATGTGAAGATATCTGCCAATGCCCCAGCTATTTCCTCCGTTGCTTTTCTGACAAACCTGGGGTAGATCCCATCTGGTCCTGGGAAATTGTTTATCTTAATGCAATTTAGGATTCCCAAACCTTCCTCTTTCAATATGTTGACATTCTGTAAAATATTCACACACTCATCCCTGACCTCAACATGTCATGTCCTTCTCCGTGGTGAAAACCAATTCAAAGTACTCATTCAGGATCTCCCCCACTTTGTGTGGCTGTATGCATAACTTCCCTCCTTCGTCCTTGAGTGGGCCTACTCTTTCCCTTGTTACCCTCTTTCTCCTAACATATGCATGAAAAGCCTTGGGACTCTCCTTGACCCTGTTTGCTAAAGACATTTCATGGCCCCTTTTTGCCTTCCTAATTGTGCATTTAAGTTCCTTCCTAATTTCTCTGTACTCCTGCAGTGCTGCTTCATATTGTTTCTGCCTAGACTTGTCATATGCTTCCCTTTTTCTTTTGACTAACCTTACAATTTCCCCATTCATCCATGGTTCCTGAATCCTGCCATTCCTAACCTTTAGTTTTGCAGGGACATGCATGTCCTGCACTAAAGTCAATTGATCTTTAAAAGCTTTCCAGAGGTAGATTTGCCCTCAAATAACTGCTTACAAATTACATTCTCCAGTTCCTGTCAATATTGGGAGTAATTGGCTCTTGCCCAATTAAGCACCCTCACCTGAGGGCCACTTGTGTCTTTTTCCTTGATGCCTCAAAATCTTATGGAGTTATGGTCACTAAGCCCGAAATGCTTTCCTGCTGAAACATCAATCACCTGTCCTGGCTCATTCTCTAGGACCAAGTCTAATATGGCCTCCTGTCTGGTTGGATTGTCAACATACTGCCTCAAAAAGCCTTCTTGGACACAACTAACAAATTGCCCTCCATCCGAGGCCCTGGCTCTAAGGAATTCCCAGTCAATAAGAGGAAAGTTGAAGTCATCCACTACAACTATCCTGCTCTTTTCACACTTTTCCAGTATTTGACTACATATCAGTTCCTCTGTCTCCCATGGACTGTTGGGACTCCCAACATTGTGATTTCACCCTTCCTATTCCTGAGCTAAGCCCTCTGAGAAAGCCCCTTAAATTTGGAAACTTCAGAGGTTTCCAACTTAGTTAAGCCTCATCATGACTGAAGAAAAGTTGGAATATAAAAGAACCTCCTCTGACTCCTGGGTAGTAATTAATCTGATCTCCTGACTCACCAATGACTCCTTCCTATCCTGACCCTGTCAAACCTTCCACCTACCCAAAGCGCTCATTCAATCACTTGGAACCTATGCTTAACTGCAGACTAACCTCCTCCCCCAGCCTACCTTACATACTCTTGCTTCAGTTGATTGTAAGAATTGTGGCTATGGTCTCCAAGTTAAGTGGAAATTAAAATTGTTCTGGTGAAATATCCACTGCCAATATGAACCTATTTTGTGGTACTAGAGTACGTCAACTTCCACCCCTACATTCTGAGAATTCAGGTCCCTGAGAAGTGTTACCACAGTTCTAAATAAAGCAATTTAGTGCGATGCAATCTTCAGGACTTTCATAGCAGCTGTCAGTATCTGACTGTGTAACTGGGCATTACAATCAAAGATCACAGCACCCTGACTGCTGCAAAAAGGGGGTGTGGTTTTTACAAACATTTCTTTTGTTGCTGGATTTGTGAATTTCTTCTTGGTGCATGCCAGGACTCCTGTGTCTAGGAATCTCTCTTGTGCAGAAGTAATCTACTGATTGGTCTGGATATTCCAATGTATTTGACATGGAGCTGCCCTCTGAAGTGGCCTAGGAAGGCACTCCATTATATTCATGAAGGTGGCTCGTGACCACCTTCTACGAGGCAATTAGGGATGGGCAAGGCTCACATCATTATGCATAAATGTGATTGAAATTCTTCACCTTGCTGAACATGAAGTCATCGGAAAACACACAATTTTCAAACAAAGCTTGCCGGGGACTGAATGATTTTGTTTCCTCCGGAGCATCAACCCCAGGCAAAAGTACTTGGCCTAATCTAGCTATGAGGCCTGATGAAAGCATGCTCTCATTCACTCTGGTGAGGTGAAGGGCAAGCTGGGTAACATAAGCTAATGACCCAAAAGTAGAATTTGAGAAAATTCACTTCCTCTGTCATTTTCAGGACTGGCAAGAAGTCTGATCAAAGCTCTGAAGGAACTGGATGGATACCTGAACACTCCATTGCCTGAAGAGATTGATGCTGACTGTGTGGATGATGTCAACGTGTCCCACCGCAAATTTCTTGATGGCGATGAGCTGACGTTGGCTGATTGCAACCTTTTGCCCAAGCTTCACATTGTAAAGGTAACCAATACTTACATATAAAGAAAACCTCTCTATGTCACCTTTGTTTTGAGGGTTTGTAGGGAATTTTCATTTTTTTTTCCCTGCTCTAAATTGTCCTGTGTTTTGATCAGATTTTCCACATTTGACATCCAAACAGTTTGGAAAATTGGTGTTGTCTATCCTGAGTCACAAGACCTCGCTGCATCTTTTTCCATCTGTTGTTTCCTGTAGGTTTCTGTCGCTGAAATTCTAAACAAAAACAGATTGGTGCTGGCATTCTGGGATTATATGACAATAGTAACTGATAACTAAGTACTACCCAAGTGCTGAACATTGCATAGCACTAAATTGCTTTATTTAGAACTGTGATAACATATCTTAGGGATCTGAATTCTCAGAATGTAGGGGTGGAAGTTGACATACTCCAGTACCACAAAATAGGTTCATATTGGCAGTGGATATTTCACCAGAACAATTTTAATTTCCAATTAACTTAGGAGAACGTAGCCACGATTCTTAAAATCAAATGAAGTAAAAGCATCAATCAGACTAAGAAAGGAGTGTCCACGAAAGCGTTAAACAATTGTCCTGTGAACTTCAGTGAAAATATATCTAGGTATAGTGGAAAATCATCATCTGATTTGCTATGATCTTAAAGAAATTGCCAATTTCACCCCTCACACATGACAATAAGGGATATTCAACTCTATTCTAATATACACCTGACCCTGTACAATTCTTAAGTCCTGCATGCCTGCACTTCAGCAAAGGGCATTCACAGAACACCAGTCTCTCTCTGGACGAGGACTTGAGCAACTTCCATTGCTAGGGATAGGGAGACTGCAAATACGGAAATTTCTACTCTTAATTAAGCAATTAACTGGAACTGGAGAGCCCATAAAGTAGGAAATGCAGAAAACCGCTCCTGCACATTAATGTATATTGAGGGTGAGTTTTTTTTAGAAAGGTCCCATAAAATTTTCCCTGTGTTTGCTCATGTAAAATGTTCTTTGGAATGGAGAGGTCTGGAACTTCAACTAATTAGAGTACAAAGGGAATCCTTGTCTGGAAAACCAACAACAAACAAAATTATTATGGCCCCAGTGAATTTCATTAAGGTAGAAATAAAGAGGAATATTTTGACTAATGCATGACATCTGTTGCTTTTCAGGTTGTAGCAATGAAGTATCGAAACTTTGAGATCCCAGCAGAAATGACAGGAGTCTGGCGATACCTGAGTAATGCCTATGCACGAGATGAGTTCACCAATACGTGTGCGGTAGACAGTGAAATTGAATCTGCTTATGCAGATGTGGCGAGAAGGCTTTCACGATCTTAGATCGGTAACACGGTGATTAAGTATCAATGCTAACGATACAAAATGGTCTCACATCGCAAGACTGCGTTTGATTGCCTTGGTTATTAAACCTAATCCCGTTCACAGACACCATAATATTTCAGCTGCCTGTTTTAGTTTTAAGTAACATGACAAATTTATAATCGAGCACTGATCATAAGTTAAGTGTGATGTTCTGCCACCCGCCACACCCGCCCTCCCAAATTAACGAATGTTCATTGTTCATTTTTGATAGAAGCTGTTTGAAGTTTATTGCCTTATCTTAAAACCGCAGCTAGTCTTTACGTTTACGTTTCAAGGACTCAAATGACGCATTTTGAGATACAAGAAGTGCTGCAAATTATAAAAATATCCACAGCCACGACGATTCCATTCATTTTTCCAAAGCTTGAGTTGACTGTTGAATTTGGAGCTCAAATTGAAACTTTACGATAATGAATTAAGTTTAGGCTGATAAGCAGCTAAATTAGGACTGGCTACCCGAGTTAACTCACACCTCAAAAGCTTTAATCTTGGGCAAGCAGAAATAAAATTTTAGTGATAACAAATTGGATCCTTTTATAAATTTCTTTAACATGATCAATCAGAATGTTTGTTTTATTTCTGGTACTTTAATTGTATTTGAGAGCCAGGTCAGTCTTAAATGAATCAGTTATGACAGCTTCTTCTAAGGCATACAAGCCAAACTATTCAGTTATGCTTTTGAATGATGTTCCTGTTTTGTTTCAAGGCATTTTAATGTTTTATTTCATCTCTGCATTGTTGGAGGAATTATTGAGGGGGTGTTTTCTTGTATAAAGGCTTCCTGTTTGTTTTTACTTTTCAATCTCATTTCTGAGTTTGGACCACTTGGATTAAATTAACTCTGAGGCCTAATATTGCTTTGAAATGTAAAATAAATAACATGAAAATAAATCTCTCTTATAGCTCTTCTAGTATTTTCAGGAAAGTCCCAAAGCCCTTTAACACAAGACCTAAGAAGAAGATGTGGGATTAACAAAGGAATAGCCTGATATATGCCAGAAAGCAATTGAGATTTTTATTTTATAAGGCTGATAAATATAAATTGAATATTTTGCAGATTAGTCCAACAATTGGAAATCAAACAATTTTTGTAACTTATAGTTTCTAAGAGTGTGTATACTGGTAGTGCATTTGTTGTTGTGTTAAAAGAATTTTATTTGTCCGCTATTTTACTGGAAGAACAGGAAATAAGATGGCTATAGCCCACAACAGACATGAAATTAAATCTTGTTTCTATAGACTAACTGGGTGCTATTGTGAATCCTTTTAGAACTGAAGGAGATTCATAGAAAACAAACCACCAGATACCTGTACACAAATTTCAAGTGTGGGGAGGTAGTCTCATCTCCATTTTTCAGAATAAAGATGACTTATCAGAAATGATTTTGAAACGTGGGAATTTATTAGTTAAAGACAAAAACAAAATTGTTATCTTCTTTTTGTTAATTGAAAATCAGTGTTTGTATTAATGGCAAAGACTAGTGATGCTTAATTGTATAACATCGGCAAAATAGCACATAACTAATTAAATTGCGTCCTCTGGTTTAACAGTGATTTGCTGTAGCTGAACATCCAACAGTGTGTGGCATTTGTTTGATTTGCCCCAACTCATTTAAGTTTTTTTAGTTTTTTGCATTACAATTTTTTGAAAGTTAGAGCTGATTACAGTGCAGTGAGGGAAACTGAGCATCTGTGACCTGACTGAACAAAATATGCAACTGTACATCTCCTTAACCAATGATATTGAAGCATTATGAAATTAACAGCTCAAAGACTAACAGGGAACTGCAAGTGAGAATAGGTGAAATCAGTGTAAAATCAGGCACAGAAAGAGTAATAATGAGGGAAAGAATGAATGGATAGAGTGAGTAAAATGTAGATTTTATTTTAGAGAAGACAGACATCCCATAAAAATCACATAATGGTTCCTGAATGATATTTGTAATAATTTATGATAGACAGCTTAAGGATCACATTCTGGCCTATTACATGATTGCTTTAGCAGACAAGGTTAAAGCAAACTACTGGTTTAATTGATCAACTAGACGTAATCCAGCGCATTATCCATTTTGTACCTTCTTGCAAATTCTGCCAGATTTCAGCCGAAATGATAAAACTATGTAGATGTATGAAAATCTTCAGTAAAAGACAAGGAGTTGCATTCTATTTTAATGCAACTCACTGCAGAAATTTGTATTCCATTTTACTTTGAAACAGTTTCTTGTTGCATCCGGAGAGGCATCTGATCATTGTGGGACCATTTTACTCAATTGGCTCAATTAAAACTTTCATCCATTTTTCAAATGTTCACATATTTGCAACACAGATGAATGGTTTGATTTAGAAAGCTATTGAGTTTGTTCTGTTTAAAAGAAGCTTTTGTTGCTGTTTCGCTTCACATTATGCAAATAGTGTTGATTCCATTGATTACGGATCTCAATTCATTGATCACTTAATGTTAAGCCTCATACATGTGTCTGGAAATATCTATCTTCAGCTGTTGGTGTCCTTACAGATTTACACAATTTATTTCTGTATACTGGTCATTTTCAGACACTGATGTTTTCCCCTTTTATAGTAACCAGTATTCTTCTGGGAATATGCTAAAGAATCGTTAATGAAGAATGTGGGTAAGCCAGAAAATAATGTACCTCCAATACCCTTGAACTACTATTTGCCACTCCTTCCCTGCATTTACCTCAATCCATCTTGCAGCCTCATTAGAACTAAACTTCTCTGAGGGGTACAATGCTACTACATGGTATACCCAATTCAAGGGAACAAGACAGCATTGAAGAAGTTAGGTGAGCTTGGAAGACTGCACTATTGATTTGCTTGAAGGCCAAGACTTTGCTTTTCTTAGTCCTGGCTCATGAGAGAAACTGTGGTAAATTATCTGATGTAACTACAAAGTGATCCTATGCCTAGCAAATATTTCCTGCTGGGCTCTGACAAGTGCATGTGTGGTGGTAGTACATAACTTTTTCACCTCTTTGAATCATGAACAATAGTTGTCAGCAATACAGTAAGATTGTCCATCAAACATAAATAGGTCTGTACCCACAGTCTGGTGGGGAAAGTGATGAGTATCAGTGGCTGTCGCTGTTCAAGCCTGTGAATAGTCCAAGCTTCACAGTCAGCAACCATGACTGGAAAGAAATCAGTCTTCTTAACTTCCGGCTGTCCTGCCCCCTACATGAGTGAACTGTTAACTGTGACGATCTTATATTGTTTCTGAAAAATGTTCTCCTTCTGCTGGTTATGTATTTATATACCGCACACTACTCCTTGTGCCAGGAGCTCTTTCTACCACTCCATAAGCAGTTAATAGGAATAGAAAAGGCCATTGAGTTCCATTTAATTAGCCACCCTGCCTAGGTAACATTATATGCCGTATTACAGCTCTTAGCAATTTTCTTAAATGTATTACCACACTTCATCTTCACTGCCACTGTTTGCAAATTGGCCTGTAGAGGAGTGGCAGATATTAAGGTGTGTCACCTTCACATTGTAATGGTCCCTGGATGGAACCTTGGCTGTAGTCTGTATCGTGGCGGGCTCTGCTACAGCTACAGCAAAAACATCTAATAGTTCCCACCAGCAGAAGTAATCTACACATTGAGAATTTCCCTGGCTTGTTGCACCCTTCACATTTACTGAAGTAGGAGTCATGTCTTGCATTGTTGAATGATGACATTTACCTGTCCATTTTTACTCTTTCCTAGAGTAATACAGCATGGAAACAGGCTTTTTGGCCCAAACTGATCCATGCTGACCATAGTGTCCACTCAGCTAGTTCCAATTGCCCACATTTGTATCATATCTCTCTAAACCCTTCCCATCCATGAACCTATCCAAATGTTTTTTAAATGTTGCTATTGTACCTGTCACATCCACTTTCTGTGGCAGCCCATTTCATATACACACCACTCTCTGCATGAAGAAGTTACCGCGCAAGTCCTTCTTAAATCTTTCCCCTCGCACCATAAACCTGTGCCCTCTAGTTTTAAATTTCCCATCCCTGGGAAAAAGACAATATGCATTCATCCTGTCTGTACATGTCATGATGTTCTATGCCTCAATAAGGTCACCCCTCATTCTCCTACATTCCATGGAATAAAGTCCTATCCTGGCCAACCTCTCCCTATAACTGAGGCCTACTAGTCCTGGCAACAGCTTTGTAAATCTTGTTTGCACATTTTCCAGTTTAACTATGTCTTTCCTATAACAGGGTGACCAAAACTGTACACAGTACTCCAAGTGTGGCCTCACCAATGACTTAGACAACTGTAACACAACGTCCCAACTCCAATACTCAGTGCCTCGACCAATGAAGGCCAGCATGCTAAATGCCTTCTTCACCACTCTGTCCACCTGTGATGCCACTCAGCCCACTTCCTCTTCTGATCAAGATCCCTCTGTAATATGTGATAACCTTCCTTGCTATCAATGATACCTCCTAATTTTGTTTCATCTGCAAATCTACTAATCATGCTTTGTACATTCGCCTCCAGATCATTTATGTAAATATCAAGTAACAAAGTTCCCAGCACCGACCCCTGTGGCACACCTCCAGTCTGAGAAACAACCTTCAACCATCATGCTTTGCTTCCTACAATCGGGCCAATGTTGAATCCAATTAGCTAGCTTTCCCTGGATCCCATGCAACCTAACATTCATAACTAGCTTGCCATGCAGGATCTCGTCAAAGGCCTTACTAAAGTCCATATAGACAACATCCACTGCCCTACCGTCATGTATCCTCTCGGTTACCTCTTCAAAAAACTCCAAAAGTTTTGTCAGGCATGAATTCCTTCACACAAATCCATGCTGACTATCCCTAGTCAGACCTTGTCTATCCAAATTTTGGTTGATCCTGTCCCTCAGTATCCTCTCCAATAACTTGCCTACCACTGATATCAGGCTTATTGGCCTGTAGTTCCCTGGCTTGTCTTTGCTACCTTTCTTAAACAGTGGAACAACATTAGCCACCCTCCAGTCTTCCGGAACTTCACCAATGGCTAAAGATGAAACAAAAATCGCTGCAAGGGCCTCAGCAATTTCTTCTCTAGGCTTCCACAATGTCCGAGGATGGACTTGATCAGGCCCAAATGATTTATCCACCTTAATGCACTTTAAGGCTGCAAACACCTCCTCTCTGGTAATATGTATGCAGTCCAAAACATCCCCACTTAATTCCCTTATTTCCTTAGCATCCATGATTCTCTCCTCCGTAAACACTGAGGAGAAATATTCATTAAAAATCTCGCCCATCTCCTGTGGCTCCATACATAGATGGTCATGATGATCTTTAAGGGGACCTACTCCTCCCTAGCCACCTTTTTTACTTTTAATACAGCTATAAAACCTCTTAGGATTACCTTTAATCTTATCTGCCAGATCAATCTTACACCCTCATTTTGCTCTTCTGATTTCCATCTTAAGTGTGTTCCTACACTTTTTATAAACATCTAGGGATTCACTTGAGCCCAGTAGCTTAAACCCAATGTATGCCTTCTTCTTTCTCCTGATCAGAGCCTCAATATCCCTTGTCAGCCAGGGATCCCTAAACCTGCCAGCTTTTCCCTTCACCCTAACAGGGATATACTATCCTTCGATCTGGAGTCTTGATATTTTGTTCACATCCTGTACATGGATAGCTAGCTTTGTCTTTTTATATGGTCTTTACACCTTTCAGGGACATAACTGATTCATAAGATAAATAAGAAATTTGTTTTAGATCCTAATGTGAATACTTTTGCAGTAATTTTGTTTTGCTGCATTGCTATTTCAAAAATCCTCTGTGGAGCCTAAAATTTTACTCTCAGTTTATTTCATAAGCACAATTTTCAGATGATATAAAGCCACCAGAATTTGAGAAATCCATTTAGAAAAAACAGAATTAATAACATCATTAAAAAAGGAAATAAATGTCAATCTGATATTAATAAAGGCAAAGTTTGCAAAGTCTCCACTGTACCATAGGACTGCTCTTTCATTAGGAGAGATGAGCGGTGGTGGTTTAACCTGAGGGTCACCATGCCTCAGAGGAAGGGAGAAGTTGAGGAGGAGAATCCTTCACGGTAATCTCCGCTGGTGTAGGAATTGAACCTATGTGTCACCAAGCGAATCAACTCCATATCTGATATTGATGACATCGTAACCCAGCAATGGAACTGACTACACACTGAATCAACTGTCTTTCATTTGGCACAATTTGCCTTCCTTATGTTCAACAGTATCACTTCTTGCTGTGTATGTTCTCTGAAGGGCAACCACTTGGTACACCACTTGTTGTCACACTACAAAGAAAACTAGCTGCACTGTTGATGGAAAAGTATGATTTATTTGACTATTGCTTGTATACTGTTCAGTGTGGATTCAGCAGGTTGGAGCCAAAGTTGAGAATCTGTGCTTGATATATTTTCCATTACAATTTTTGAAAAGTAAGATTTAAGAGGCTTTTAAAATTCTAAAACTTCTGAAAAGGTTGGATTAAATGATTTATTGAAAGATGATTTTCTATGGTTGCAGAATCAATAAAGAGGGGTCACTTATTTGAAACTGCTACCTGAAGTGTGAACAGAAAGATGAGCAGAGATCCTTCGTGTGGGGTTGTTTAGAGGGTGCATTCTTTTCCGCAGAAAGTTGTTTAACCAGAAGTCGTTCTATCCAGTAGGATGATTGGGATAATATGGGGATTAGTCTGAGATTTTTGGAGCCAATAACCCATACACAAACACATGATGGGTATGATGTCCTGCCCTAGTACAGTAAGTTTCTCTGGTTCTGGAAAGCGTTCATTTGCCAATGGTTTGTGACCTGTGCAGCACCATGTAATACAATAATTTACAAGCTACTGTAATTCTTAACAGAATTGTAACTGAAAATGCAAACAATTGAGTAGTTATAGGATTATCATTAAAACAGGCCTTTCTAATTTTGTTACTTGTGATAATGACTGTATGTTCAATTGCACTAGCAAAGTTCTTTTGGAAAGTACTTTTCTTGTCATGTATCATTTGGTGTAAGTTGAGTCATTTTCACAACTCTTCTTTTAGATTCTTTTAAACATAATAAAAGCCTTTGTTTTTATTCATTACTAGCCAAATAGTTAGTAAATGGTTTTCATAATTTTAATTGATTTGATGACTCCCTCAATTTACATAATAAATGTTTGGCCACTGTTGTAAATTTAAGCCATGTCTTGTACATGTGTGTACGGCATTACAGCATGCCTGTTTGAAAATCTTAGTCATAATGTACAATGGTGACACTGCTGGATGAGCTAGCTGCTGAAAAATGATTTAATATTTTGCGCTGATTATTTGCACTGGTTAGATAATTTTTCCTCAGTCTTGACTGGCAACTGCTAAGGAAATAAAAATTGTATATTTTCACAGCATAAGTTGAATCCTGTTGTCTTTTTTGTAAATAATATAAACTGGAAACAATGCTAATCGAGTCAGTATTTTACACTCTTTGATAATTGAGGACCCTTTCACTGAAAAAAAAAATGGCTGCTGCTAAATCCTACATACTCTCAGTGTAAAATTAGTGAGTTGTTTTACCTCTCTTCAATGTTGTGATTACCCTGGAAAATGATGTGTAATTTTTCTGTATTTATGTCACTTATGGTTAGAAAATGCTAGACAGCTGAATATATTTTTCAATGAGCTGGAGGTCACTCCTGAGGCATATGTTTCTCCCAAGTTCTAATTATAGGAAGAGGGTTGGCCAAGATTCATGTAGAAAGCACAGCTGAAGGGTATTTTATTTTTGCTGCTGTTTGAAGCTAACAGCCTCTGTTCTGCTGCTCTCTTATAGTATGGTAGCTGGATTAGGGATTAACAATTCCAATTCTGAACAAAAAGATAAAATAAGGATGATAATATGAATTAAATTATCTTGGGCTGAGGGAGAACAGTTAAATACAAAATCATAATTACTTGGTTTTTTTTACAAAATGAAAAATACTGATAAGATTGATGCCCCACTGCACGAGCACTGGCTTAAAATAAAAGCCTTCTGAGTTCTTTCAAAATGCTAATTGCACAAATTATCATCTACTCTTCAATACAGGAACTGAACTCAGTCCTTTCTGACAGGAGTTCTTTGATGTAAAATTAGAAGTAAGCAAACCTCATTTACTCTGGTCTTTGAAGCAGCAGCTGTGGAAATGGGTTTTATTCTGGCAACTTCGTAACTGTTTGAATCTAGAATTCACCCCTTAAATTGCAGTAAGAGAAAGTTTGCTTGAACACATATGCTCCTGAAATAAAATGAGAGCTAAAATTGACTCATATTTGTACTAGTATTGACTGCTTAGAGAATGAGACTTTTTTTTTTCAAAATATGATGTATTTATTGGAACTTTTCTCTTTGTAATTCTTCACATGCCATTGTCAAGATAGTTTGGTGTGTTAATCTATCCATCTCCCTAATTTACTGCCTTCTATTTATCACACTGAAGCAGTAAACTGCTGGTCCCAGGATAGTATTAATCCTAAACATTTGCTATTCAGTGATAGTTAGTCAGATTCTTCAATCACACTCTAACCTAAACAGTCAGAGAATCTGGTTAGGTGTGCATGTTATCAGAATGGCAATAAGGCGGGTGTTCATCATACATTCTAGATGATTCCTATGCTCAGTAATTTGGACTGATGGGAAGGACTAGATCATAGAATCCCTACAGTATGGAAACAGGCCCTTTGGCCCAACAAGTCCACACCAACCATCAGGGCATCCCACTCAGACCCATCACCCAATACCTCAGCTAATCTACACATCCCAGAACACTGCAGGCAA